GTTCCCATTTTATTCCTCTGGTACTCCTATAATATAAATGTTGTTACACTTGATGTTATCTCACAGGTCCCTAAAACGTCTTCGGTTTGTTTTTGTTGTTCTGAATGGGTGTTTTCTGTTTCCTCATTTTCTACGTGGAAATCGCTGACTCAATCCTCCGCTTCTGATCTGCTCTTGATTCCTGCTAATGTAGTCTTCACTTCACTTATTATTTTTTTTTATTTCTGATTGGTTCTTCTTTATAGCTTATATGGCTGTTTTTATGCTTACTGTATCTTTGTTGAAATTCTCACAACATTCCTTAAGCATTCTTATAACCAGTGTTTTAAACTCTACTCTGGTAGATTGGTTTCTTCCATTTCATTTAGTTCTATTTCTGGAGGTTTCTCTTGTCTTTTATTTGGGACATATTTCTTTGTTTCCTCATTCTGGCTGCCTGTCTGTGTTTGCTTCTGTGTATAATGTAGAGCTCCTATGTCTCTCAGTCTTTGTTCAGTGGCCTAAGTAATATGTGTCCTGTACAATCTCCCTGATCACCTGTGCATGTGTTCCAAGAGTTTGTTTCCCTTGGGTGTATTCTCCATTTGTATGTGAGCCTTGATTGCTTTTGGTGCTTCAGTGGTTTGGTTTGACTCCCAGGCTGACTGACTGTAAGAATTGGCTATGACCACAGTGATTGAGCTGCTGTGTGGCGGCTAATCCCTGAGAGAAGGATTTGCCTCTATGGACTCTGTGCCTGTTGAGACCCCCTTAAGAGTGTGCCATTTTGGGGGCTAACCAGGTAGTGCTCTGGTGTGGTCTAAAACTGCCCTCTTGGTATGTTGTTTGTGGTTTATCCTGACAGGGGTTCCTATGTAGGCCAATATCAGGCTTACCCTTTACTGGTTCATGATTACCTTGTACAAAGTTGTATGTCATTGGCTCCTGCCCATACTGGACTTGGGGGCTTGTGAACATGGCCTCACTGTGATCCGAGGCCAGCTGCCACCAGTAGTGGGCCTGGGAGAGCTTAGCAAAATCCCAGGGACCCCTAGGCCTCTTGCCACCTGCTGGCTGCCCATAAGGCTCAGGCTTTGAGAAAGCCTCCTTAGATGAGAGGGACAGTCTGGTGTACCTGGTGTTGAGAGTGCCTTTGGTGATGCAGCACTAGCTGGGTGGGGCTGGGATTCTACCAGATCAATGTGGTCTAAGATTTGGCCTTTTGAGGGAGACTTCATCATAGAAAAAATGATGCCCTCCTGTAGGCTTCATGTGAGGTAGGCTCCACACAAAAATAATAATTGCTCTCCCACCAGCCCTCACTCAGAAGCCACAAAACTTAGTCTTTTCCCATATATATGTCTGGCACCTCTTGACTTGCCGTCCCATCAGCAAAGACTAGGTGAATGTTTGTAAGTGAGTCTGTGCACTGGCCCTTTAAGAAGGCATCTGGGTTTCCATCTGGCTACCATCTCACCAGTATGGGCCAACAGAGACTTGGCTGATTTTCATTGCCAGGTGTTGTGGGAACTCCTCTTCTTGGCACAATACCACTGGGCTAGGGAACCAGCTGTGAGGCTATGACCCCTTCCTCTTTTGGGGGCTCCTTCTCCAGTGAGGTGTCTCTCCCAGTGTTCAACCACTATCTGTGAGTTTGGCGCAGGCTGTTTCACATTCTGCCCCTCCTACCAGTCTCAATGTGGCCTTTCCTTTATGTCCTTAGTTATAGGAGTTCTGTTCATCTAGTTTTCAGATGATTCCTTAGTTTAGTGTACTATAATTTATTTCTAGTTTTGGTGTGACCCTGGGATGCAGTAGGCATAGCATTTACCTAATTTCCCATCTTGGACCCAAAATAATGATCCTTTTAAGATGGATTTTTGTGGCTGCACAGCATTCCATCATGTCAGTGTTCTGTAATTTATATAACGAGCTCTGTATTGAGCATTAATCATCCAGGTTTGCAATATAACTGAAGGATATTTTCAGTCATAGGGTGAATTTCTAGAAATGAAATAATTCACTCACTTGAATGTTTTTTAAGGTTTTTGATTAATATTGTAAATTTCTGTGTATTGATTATATATTTCATGCAGTGTATCATCAGTTTTATCTAGTTGCCATACCCTATTCAGTGCTTCAGCTTGATTTTCTTGATTACCAATAAAATCCCTTGTGTAATAATTACAGCTTTTATTTTTTTCCTTTTTGGAGGAAAGATCTACAGTGTGAGAAATAGTATTTTTACTTCCTTGTAATGGCAAGTTAACCCTGTACTTTTAAATTTGTTCACTATCTTTGAATTACAGTGACTTATTTCTTGATGGTTTACAGGTTGATATAATTATCTTTGAAAGTTCTTTTTAATACATATAACTTGAGTCCAATTATTTTTCTCTTGGCATATTTTTTATAATGAAAAAAATTACAGCTCAAGATATCATTGTAGTGAAGTGTTCAAGCTGTAAGAAGCAGCTCGATGAAGATTGTGAGAGCCCTTTTAGACCTGCTATAGCCTTGAAAGAAAGAAGTGTCCTAGATGTTCTGAAAAACCCTAGGAAGATAATGGCTACCTTTGCGAGAGTTTAAAATCTTAATTGTAAATTCATGATCTTGTTTTAATGTTATTTGTGGTATACATTAGTCTTTTAAACAATTATGGCTAATTTGATAGGCAACTGTCTTCTGAATGTAGATGTAGGCAGATGTAATTTATTTGAGAGAAATATCTTAGACACTATTTCTTTAGAATTCAAGGACTTTGTACTATAATGAAATATCTGAGAGGCAAGTATAGGAGACTATGAAGCAAGTATAGAATGAGAAAATGAATAGAAAATTAATAGAGACAGTCTAATATAGAATAAAAGTAAATAACCTGATGTTTGACTTAGACATGTGTTTTTCATGAGAAGGACATGAACTGCCAAGTTATTCTCCAGTTATTCTCCATGAACTTCTCAAGTTATTCTCTAGTTGTAGTGTGTGTGTGTGTGTGTGTGTGTGTGTGTGTAAAAAGACCAACAAAAATTTGCTAATTCCAAATATATAATAGGGACAGTGCTTACTTAAAAAAGATGTAAAAGCTAGTAGGTAATAATTTGAAGGCAATGACTAGAAATGCTCAAATAAGAATAAGTTTTCAGTATGAAAATGAAAGAGGATAGTCACAAGTTGAATTGTTATGTGTACAATTATAATGTATAAATGTTTATAAGATAATTTAGTAGGTCACAACGAGTTAAGATTCAGTAGATGTGTTCATGTATAATTGAATAGGAATTTCAAAGTAAGGTTTGCTTCTACAACAACCTTAGAAGAATTAGGTTTTTTTGGTCTAGCCCTCTCATTTTATAAATGAGTACACTGCCTGCAGGAGTCTCAGTAATTTAGATGATTTTATGCAGTTAAAGCAAAACTCCCAAAATCCAGTACCAAATTCATATTCATCAAATTCATATAGTTTATGTCCATATAAGTTCCACTTTGCATTCATAATGTCCACTCCTCTCCCCTTTTAACTTCTTTAAATATGAAAAATTGGAGTAGTATGTTCTTCAGAGGGAAAATCTGAAAAAGTGGAAAGAATAGAAATCTGTAATACCTTGAGATGGTGACTGTTAACATTTTGCCAACCTTAGGTACTCAAATTACACATTAACAAAATGATGCATTGTTGACCACTGGGAGTAACTGAGATATGTGGAATTGTTTTGCTATTGTGCTAAAAATAGGTGTAAGCTGAATTATTTCTTGGTTGCAGTAGAAACTCTGTAACAGAAGCCTTTGAGATCTTGCTGCCCAGCGTATGTCATTAGTTTGGCTCATGTAAACTCTTATAAAAAAATAAATAAATAAATAAAAAATCTTGTAACAACCTTCTATATCTCCTTCCCCTCTCATTTTACTTTCCTTTGGTGCTAATAGCTAGAGAAATGGGTCTCTGAGTTTGTTGATATGAGTAAAGGAAGTTAGTTGGTCCAAAGTAAAGGATTGAAACATCATTCCCACAAATAAAGAGTAATTTCAGTGAATTCAATGATAGCAGGTTTGGTAGGACAAATACTTTTTTCTTCCTATTACTCCATGGTTTTACCTTAATTGTCAAATAATTTCAATTAATTGAAACCTTAATTGTCTAAATATATCTTCAGGGGTTGCAAAATGTTTAACAATGTGAAAGGCTCTGAGAGTATACTTGGAGAGTCATTGAGGCAATTTTTATAATATTAGTGTTTGGTAATGGCGTGTAGGCATGTATTTGAGTAGCATGAGCTTGTGCTCCAATAGGATTGACTGGGTTTTAATAATTTTTGTATTGCTAGGAGTGACCAGATGATGTGGTACATCACTGTTGGAATTTTTTATCATATTTGTCATTGAACGGTTACTTTTCTAGAGCTCTATAGAGTTTAACAGAATTAAAAATAATTCTTCCCACTTTGTTATATTTTGGAAGGACATCTGTACACTGACCATATCTATACAGCTCAGCTGGTTTTGACTGAAAGTAGAGGATACCACACTAGTGGATTATAACTGGATAAAACTCAAAGATAAAAGACATTGAAATCATTTGGTATAGCCAAGGGAATACTTGAAAGGAGAGACAGATCAGGGAGGAAAGCTATAAATATACTGTATGTAGATCAGAGATCAGGAAGGCAAAACATAGTGTAGCAAAAATAGACGACAGTAGCTTCGGTCAGTACATTACTACAAATTAAAGCCTAGACTTAGGTATTGGGTGAATTATAATAAATAGAAACTTTGAGAAGAAGGTGATATCCTATAAATAAAACATCTTTTGCAGATTTTGACTAGGTCTAAGTGTCACTCATTAATTATGTGATGAATAAATAGTGATCAGGTGAAAATCACCTCTTAAGTAGTCCATCTTGGATTGTAGTAACTCAACAATGAGGTCGATATGTTTTCTCCCAGTAATACTATTAGTTAACATTTTGATTGGAAAGTCTTCCCTACCTTTGTCTTTTCACTCTTCTCTTCCCCCACTGTAGGTATCACATCACCAAAGACAGATTCCCTTGCTGCTCAGCCTACCACCACAGGCCCTGCTGTGTCTACAAGACCAGGAATAAATAGTTTGTCTTCTAGTAGAATTGGGACAACTAGATTGCCGTGGCAGCGTGATCCTTATCTATATGTGAACAAAGTTACAGGCAACAACTGCATTGTCCATCAAGAAACAAAGCTGCCACCAAGTGATACTGCTAAACAGGCTGAAATTGGAACACCAAGAAAAAGTGGCAGACCAACTCTGCGTGCATCGGGAACAGGTTGTCGAGACAAAATTAAACCAGCAGTAGGAACTTGGAATTGCGATACCTGTTCAATGAAAAATAAACCAGAAGTGAGAAGATGTGTAGGTTGTGAAACACTCAAACGTGGAATTTGTTTTAAGAGAGTCCTTACGTTGCCAGTAGCTTCAGAAAGAGCTGTAACCATGGCTGCTTCATCTTCCAGCTGCACTGTGACCACTGGTGCCTTAGGATTAGGAAATAAATCAGAAAAGCTTGCGGGGTATTGGCAGTGCCCTGTATGCTCTAATTATAATAATAGAAAAAACAAGAAATGTGCGACCTGTATATGTGAGATACCAGGTATGTTTTTGGCTGTTTGGAAGGATTTTGTTCATTGCTTCAGTAAAACATTTTACTTTATTCTCTGTCCAACCACTAAGAACAACGTGAATATTTTAAATGTTTTGGGATGAGTATTTCCTCATACATCTTAAGTTTTCTTGAGGATAAAATTATTTGCTTGGGGCTAGATTTTTATGCTAACTTAGGATAGGCTGTGTTTAATCAGCCCAGTATATACTTTCACCTCCTCTTTCTATGCCTTTTTATCAGAAACGTCTTACTCTTCTTGATCATTTTCTTTTTTTTTTAAAGATTTTATTGGGGAATTGGGAGAGGGGGACAGTGCTGGGGAATTGGGGAAGGGAAACAGCCAAGTTGTTGTCCTTCAGTCTTAGTTGTGGAGGGCGCAGCTAGCTCAGTTCCAAGACCAGTCACCATCCAGCCACCCGTCGGCAGTTCGTGGCTGCTCAGCTCAAGGTGCCATGTTCAATCTTAGTTGCGGGTGGGCATAGCGCACCATCCCATGTGGGAGTCGAATTGGCAACCTTATTGTTAGGAGTATGTGCTCTCACCAATTGACCCATCCTGCCACCTGTTGGCAGCTCAGCAGCAGCTCGGCTCGGGCGCAGCTCACTCGCCCATGTGGGAATCGAACCAGTGCCCCCATTGCTCAGAGCTTGCTCTCTTAATCAACTGACCCACTCAGCTGGCCCTTGATCATTTTCAAAGTTGACTAATATGCATGCTGAAAGGTCTTAGAAAGGGACAATCTTTGTTAAACCTTTATGCAAAATAAAATAGTACTTTGTTTTTCTGTAAGTCCAAGTGAAGTGTCTGGTCATTACTTCCAGGGAAGGTTTCATGAAGAGGCAGACTGTATTGCTTTACACAAAGGCTATGTCTGCATATTACTGGTGATACCTGTACCTGTATGTTATCTGCCAGAGACACTGCCTTGATAGCCAGTTACTGAATCATCAATGGAAAAGGCTAACTTAGGCAGTTACAAAAATGGAGTTATGTTTGAGTTTCTCCTGTTTTTCTGTTCAAACTTTAGAGCTACTAAAGATTCACATCTGGAAATGACTCTTTGCTGTTTTTGTAATACTGTTATATAATTAATTGTTACAGATATATGATGAAACATGATATAAGCATCCTGGATGTTATATGTAGTTTTATGTCTGCAGTGGCAAGCTCTTGAGTTATTAGCCTAGAACCCTGTCTGAGCACAAAGGCTGAGTCATATTTCTAATTCCTACTAAACATCTCCATGAGAATGAGATTTCAGAATCTTCATTCTGAAATACCTTTCCCTTCCCACCAGACACCTCTCCTCCCCTCCAAAATAATAATAAGGAAGCCCTGATGCATGCAGGAAAGCAAAATTAATTCAGAATTGAAGGGAGAATAAAACTTTGAGTCAGGCAATGAATTGTTAGACACAAGAAAAGGAAGCCCATTAATATATTAATGAACTTTGAATTCATCCTGTGAAAGATGAGCCATCGTTGTAAGTAGAGGAGTGATATGGTCAAACTTATATTTTGATAAATCACTTGTTGGATTTTTGAATGATAGATGTGAAGGTGACAAAATTTGGAGACCAGAGGACAGATTAGGAAGTTGTGTCAATAGTACATGCAAAAATAACGGTGATGTGTACTAAGGAAATCACATAAGGATGATGATGTAGAATAAGGTGTAGTTGAAGACGTGTTGATTTCAAGCTGCTGAAATTGACTTTCAGATATATGTGAGGCCTTTGGATGTACTGATAATGGATCCTCTGGGATAGAGGTACAGGTTTGGGAGTCATTAGTACACACTTTTCAAATACATCTTGGGAATAGAAGTGACAGAAAGTGAGTGAGCGGAGTGAGTAGAGAAGACAGCCTTAAACTGAGGTCTCCTAACTTAAGGGAGTGGCAGCAATAGAACTTTGTAACAGTTAATTTTTTAAAGGCATAACCAGAGAGGAAAGTTATGGCACTGGTCGATCTTGGAAGTATGGATTTAAGGGAACAAGACCAGAGGTCTCAATAAGAAGGCTGTTATTCAAGAAATGTGGGGAGCTTGAACTAGAATAGCAGTAGAAGGCTAGTCAGGAAAAGAGAATGAAGAAGGTTTGAGAAATATGTCAGAGAGGAGGAGCCATCTAGATGAGCTGATCAGGTGGATAGTGGAAAGAGACCACGGGGATGAAGATCAGAAGTGTGTATTCCAGGTACAAGTTGGGAAACAGTTTTGTTGGTGATTAAAACCATCAGAGTAGATGAGAGCTGGTAAGATGGGTACTGGACCAAAGATGGAATCTCAGGGAGCAATTTTATTGGCAAATGGAAGAGAACATACTAATAAAACAGAGCTCAGGAACTGGAAGAAGTGACAACAGCTAGAGACCATTTAGATAAATGGGAGTACCAGAATGAATGGCTCCCATGTAGTGACTTGAGAGTGAGCCGGCAAGCTCCATTTTCTGTAAATCATGCCACTGTGACCCATTCTGTAATGTGACCAACCCTGTCTCTACACAGTATGGAACTGAGACATTATTGGAAGAGCTTTTTCAAAAGTCTTCAGGAAGGTGGATGGGTTCAGGATCATCATATAACAATCAGTAGCTTTCCTCCAAATCGGCACGAAGGACAACATATCTCATTTGTATTTTGTAATAACTATAGCACCTGTTACATGCTAACATAAAAGACATATTTAACACTTGTTCCTCAATGAGAACATCCTTCTCCCAGCCCCCACCCCCAATATAATTTCAGTTCTTAAAAGGATTTTTATGGAGCTTGGCAAACTAAGTTACTTCTAAAATTCGTATGGAAGGGAAAATGCACAAGAAATCCTGGGGAGAGAGGCAAGCACACAGATAGGTTTGCCTTATTAAGTAGCAAACCATGTTATAAAGCTACAATAATTAAAAGAGTCTAGTAACAATAACTGTAGAGGAAACAAATGCACATATATTTAGAAATTTAACATGTCATGAAGGAAGAGTTATAAATTAGTGAGCAGAGGATGCACTAGTCAATGAATGCTGCAGAAAAAATTGGCTGTCATTTGGACAAATTGAAATCATAAATCTGCCAACATAAATTGCAAAATCAAGTTGATTAAAGCACAACTGTCTCCCACTATGTGAACTTGTTCTCCAAACACTGTATCCAGTTAGGTTTGCATTAAAGGCATATGTTTATTTTTATCAATCTAAATGCTGAAGGCTTTCTTATGTAAGATAGAAAATCCATAAGCCATAAACGAAGAGATGTATATGTGTGACTACACCCACATTTAATAGAACAGATGCTCATTTGATGAATCTGTATAAAAAACAATTCTGTTTTCTAATGAATTCTTAGAGTGTACGGTAGGAAAAATTGCTTTCTCTGATTACTTGTTTTTAAGATTTTTGTTTGGTTATTTCTGTCATCAAGATCAGAGGTCAGCAAACTACAGCTCGCGAGCCACATGCGGCTCTTTGGGTACGTTCAGTTTCAAAAGTTTGCCAACCCCTGGAAGAGCCAATCCTGTCCCTCACAACAATTTAAAAATTACTCAAGAACCATAAATATATTTTTACATAATCACCATTATGTGAATGATATCCTTTAAAAATTTTGTAAATGAAACTGTGATAGTTTTATTTTCATTTTCAATTTTACTTCAGAGCCACAGTTTGCAAACCGCAATTTGCTGACCCCTGGCGGCTCTTCCGTCTCAAAAGATTGCCGACCCCTGATCTAAATCAAGGTTCCTCAAATCCCATTTTTAGTTTCATGAACAATCATTCCTCTAATTTTAGTCCATCAGCCACTTTAGCTACTGGCAGCATATTTGGTAGTTCCACCCTTCGTCCAGGGCATCTATTGCTGCCTCTGTGTATAGACAGGCCAGCACTGTGAGCAGCTCGGCCTTCAGTAACTCTGCCACATCCAGAACATGTCAGTCTTTGGTTTTCTCTGAAGAGAGCAAACCAGCAACTCTATCTAGCATGGGTACAGCTGTTACCCCCTTTGTCTTTGGTCCCAGACCAGTAGGAATAATACTTCTTCTGGCTTCAACTTTGGAGCTACAACCATGCCTACCGCTACAGGTACTTTTACAAAAGGAAAAACACACATGCGTGTTATACTTGGATTGCCTTTAATTATATCACCTTTTAGAAATAATGCAGTCAGTTATCGCAAAACAACATGGGTGCTCCTAGGTCATCTATACCCAGGATGTTGGAGTTATTCACACTGTGGTATAATGTACATTTTTGTTTAAGTTTAATATAATTAACTGTTGGAAGCAGTTTTTCTAATCTCAGCAAGAGTGTTACCTTTCGTTTTTGTAAGAGTTCTTTTTGAAATGTAAGTCGTAAATAACCAGACACTGGGGTTTATTTTATTAGACATTAGGCCTTATTATGCAGTATATTCATGATTACAGCATTAGCTGATTCCTGCAATGTGTTAAATTTCTGATAAGAGGTCAGCTGTTTTTTCAGATATATTCCCTTCATTTAAAATTTTTCACTGCAAAGGTCGGGAATCTTGTTAATAGAAGTTTTTGTTCATATGGACTATGTTTTATTAAGCAGTGGTAGAGAGAATTGTATTCCTACAATTCTTAGAATCATCACTCAAAGCTTGGTGGCATTCAAAGGTAAGAGTCTGAAAAGAAGCTTGAAATTTGCTTTTGAGTTTATGATGATTTCTTGAGGATTATCGCCTTTCAGCTGTCATGATGATTTAAGTATTCTTTTTGGGCCTATAGGATCATCCTTTGTATTTGCCACTGGACCTTCAGCGCTATTTGCCAGCCCATTTTATGTGAACCAGACCGCAACGTTTGGACAAAGTCAAGGTGCCGGCCAGCCGAATCCCCCAGGCTTTGGATATTTGCCATTTTACACAGTGTTAGTTTTTGATGGTTGTCGGTCTGCACCACCTGCTTTAGGGACGATGTCAAGCAGTAGCCAGTCTCCCGTGTTTGGACAACAGCCTGGTCAGTCTGCAATTGGCCCTGGAGCAGCACCTACTTCCAGTGAGTGTGTAGTAGTGATGTGGTTTGTATCCGTACTCACGTTCTGTATGTCTTAGGTACAATTTTTTTCTTTGAACTTTGAAACCATTCATGTCTTTTTTTTTTTAATTGTCTCTTGTACTTGGCAGAATAGCAAGGTGTGTGCTTAGTCTTACCTATAAACCACATTCCCAACTTTGACACAACTTGAAGCATTTTTAAAGTTTTAAAGCATTTGATTAAAATGTAGTTATTTCTTAACTCTGATTTAGGTCTTGGATTCATTCCATCCCATTTCTCCCCACCTGACTTTGGAAATGCTCAAGCCTAGATTTCAACTGTAGTGTTTTCTGATCCTCTTTGTGATTGGATTTATCTCTGGAAGTTATACCCCAGTTCTAGTTCTCTTGCTGGGACAGTCCAGCCGAGTTGTCTCATGACACTTTCTATGTGATGTACTAGCCTTCTCACTTGTATCTTTCTATCTGAGGTGGGTCTCGCATAGACAGCATGTGTATGGTCATTTCCAGGGAAGATTTCATGAAGAAGTAGACAGTATTGCTTTATTTAAAGGCTGTGGCTGCATATTAATGGTGATACCCAGCTAGCTGGCTGCGAGGAGAAAATCTGCAAGTCTCCTTGCACGGTGTCCGAGTGGAAGCATGAAGTGTATAGCAGCAGGGGCTTTTCACCTGTCTGATGGATTGTGTTGAATTAAGCATTCACGTATTATACATTCACGTGCTTAAAGATCCGTCAATCTCATTCATTCCTCTGGTAGCATCTAACATACTTCATCAAATTAGTGATTTTTTTTGCTTATTATATACACCATTATTTTAGGTATCATTAAGAAAAAAGATGTCCAATGAAACTACATTATATCAGGAATTGTAAGACACAGCACAATTTCATAGATGTTAATATGTGGGGGGAAATACCATGCATCATAGAATTGATTAGGTACAATCATTAGGGGCCCACAGAATAAAAGATGCATTGGCAAATAACAGGTGAATCATGATGCAGTTGGGCTTTGGGATTTGGAAGGTACCCAGGTTTATTATCATGATTATTTTTTAAATTAAACAAAATGGAATTTTGCTAATATGCCTAAGGAAATTGGGAATTCCATATATAAATAAGAGATTACCCTCTTCTGAGCACTCTGCTCCTGAGTGCCACCATTTCTTCCATTAAATTAAGGGTCACTTTTTTGGTCCAGTACTCCAAGGACAGCGGTGGAAGGGGCATGGGAGTGCCAGCACTTAGCAAAAGAAAGGGCTGACTGAACTAGAGGTGGCTTGGTAAAGGATAAGGTCATCTTTACTCAAAATTGTTCTTAAAAACCAAACAATAATTTTTTTAAAAACCTTTAACTTCCTCTACATTGATCTTCAAGCAGAACCTGCATTGCTGGCCAACATCCTTTTTCAGTCCCTCTTCTAAGAATTCCAGGAAGGACTTGGGCCAGAAGTCACAGGATTAATTCTGCCTCCTGGGACTGTGCTTTTGAACCTAAATGTGCACTAAATCCCCTGGGGAGTATCTGTCATGCACGTGCCTCTTCAAATTTCCATACCCAGGTTCACTGCCCTTAGCATCTAAACTTTGCTTCAACTGGGGCACAAGGGGGCAGGGGCAGGCTTTCACACACCCTCTGCAGAAGTACTATGAGGCGGGGTGTCTGCGAGCTACACAGCCCTTAGTAGAGGGAAGAGAGGCAACCACCCCTCTCATGTCATTGCCTGGACTATTCAGAACCCAATAAGCAGGAAGAGAAGCTGCTTTTTGCTTGTGAAAGTCTCAGAATAGTGTGTCCCTGTCAAAGATCTTGTCTAATAAGTTAAAATGTATCAAAGTATTTGTTGTATTAGAGTAATGTGGGATTATGGTGATTT